CATATATACTTGTATATATATCACAAATCTATATATTGAAGACGAGAATTTACACTTTGGCATTAAAACGATGTACATCTAATGATGTTTGATTGGTGTACAGGATCCTCGAGGGAAGAAGCTGGACGAAGAAGACGATGCCTACATTCAATCGAACGAAATAGAGGTCACAGACGACGACATAGATGATGTGTGGGAGGCTATGGACTGTCTGCTACATCGGCTGCAAGAGAGTGGCTAAGTTTGTATCACATTCGGGGGTTAATATAGTGACCTCTATTGAAGTGTCTCCTATTTTCAAAAAGGAATGTACTGGTGAAATGAATCGAAAACCCGATAGTTGACGTGTATATGGAGTACGGAAACGCGAGTGAGACAAAAACCAAAAACCAATTAAATCGAAAATAATCATTCGGGAGGACTTGGGCGGCCCTAATTAGTTCAAGGTGCTTGTGAAACAATTCTTCCAAGAATTGCCAATTTTCGGTTATAAACAGGTTTATACCATTACAACCACTTCATGATTCCCAATTTGCTCATCTAGAGTGTCGAAGGCGACGCGAATAGGCCCACTTTTTCAAAATATAGTAGCCTCATCGAGATATATGAAGCATACTCTGTACAGCGCATATTGATCACGATACAATTCATCCCATATCGAGCCATGTGAGAACGGATAGCTATAGTTTACTGTTAAGTCGTAAGACCAATCGAATCACGAGGCTCGTATTGCTGATAAAAGTTCGGTATCTGGTACGCGCAATCATATATTAGAGCGACTCGCCATCTATTCACTACCGTGCCCACACAAAATAGGACACTGCCACCCATGTTAACGGTTGCGACGACTTGACTTACTCGTCAGTGATTGGTTTTTTGGGGGAGGTAGTTCGGCCCGAGGGTTATTGAATGCGTGTATGGCCAGTTTGAATTTATCGTTCAACTGCTCCTACACTACCGGCGGAGGTTATTCATACTAGTACTCTGTACAGTGTAGGTAGGCGTCGCAGTTAAATTTGGAATGGGTAAAAAGGAATATGCGTCAAAATAGCGATAACTCAGAATCTAGACCATGTCATCGTAGTCACACTTCTATAATGTTACCCCGTGTTTTCAACTGAAGATCTGTTTCCACGCGTTTAGTACAACGCGCGTCAGAAATGAAGCTTCTAACGCACACATTGCCAACAAATCAGCTGGCGAAGGTGTAGTGTAGGCAGCATTGCATTAGGGGCACGGTCCCAACAGTGTACTTTCCATGTTTGGGCAGTTGCAGACTTCGTAACTACTATGGCTAAGCGCCACGCTTCGAGTCTCTATATAGATATTTTATGGCAAGTTACTCTCGTATTGATATTTTAAAAGCAAGATCGAGGGGCTATTTGCGACGAACTTGCGAAACACATTACACATCAAGCATTCTTCAATTGAAAGTATTGAGCTAAACGAATCACGATAGCATAAGAAGCCTGAAGGTGATTCACCACGCGAGAGGACGATGCGTTGATTGGAAAAATATTTAGGGTGTATTATATAGTAGGATACTGACGAATAGTATTATTATGGAACGCAAAGGAACCGTAGGAGGCTATGAAGTATGAACGGGCACAATCTGCACATAAATGATGAGCAGTGGTTTTCGGTGATATTTTTTTTGATGACATCTATGATTGTCATCAAAATACTTATGACACTCCCGTCTATTCGATGATGTAAAACGTAGAACATATATACAAGAAAAATTGAAATTAATAAACGTAAAAAATTACGCCCAACTGAAATTCATACTAAATAAATATGTGCTTTTTAAAACGTTTAGACGAGACGTGAACTTTTGTTTTTATGTACATTCACGAGTGTTTGTAAAAAAAAAGCCAATAAAAAGGTACATAGCCTCTGTTCCTTTCTTTGTTTCTTGCTCTTTTAAAAAAGTAGACTGTTTTATATAGATAAATGAATATAAATATCATGATTCATGGCCAACTGACTCGTCGTAAATGGATTATCTCTATAGTATTTAGAGAAGTAGAAGTTGGGACGTCGGACGAGTTCGTGACAGGGTAAAATGTTTAAATATATGATTTCTACTAGAGAATATCTACTACTCTCTCTCTCTCTGAGAGTAGACGCTCTCTCAAACTACAGGCAGCAGTATTGTAAAAGTCATGTTTCTAAAAGAAAGAGCTCACGTGATCCCGCTGCTTGTATTGTACTACAACGAAACATAGCCTTCTGAAAATTGAACACGGAAGGCTATGAACGAGATTTTACAAGTAGATTGATGTAGTGATGATTTATACATATATAGTCATACTGCAAGTTCTCACGCAGAATACATAGCTGTGATCTAATACGCTTTTTTTGTCATCTTCAACCGCATCACTGTGTGTCTTAAACTCCTTATTCATTCCCTTAGTTCAAGGCTACATACACCATGCCATTTAATTTTGCGGGATTAACGTCCTTTTCGCTGCCATTCGTCTTATCGAGCCTTCTTGCGGTAGTAGCACTTGCCGAGAACATCACAGATGCGGACACACCTTGTATAGACGTTGTGCTCACAGGTACCATGGCTGGGCCATTCTTCTTCGGAGGGCTTGCTGGTGCTGGCACACTTGTTAGCATAGGTACAAAGGATAATAACTGTAGTGATTATCGCCTACAATTTGATATAGGTCGTGGCACATCTTTGCGCCTGTCCGAGCTTGGCCTGGCCCCCAATAACATCGACGCACTGTTCCTCACGCATATGCATAGTGACCACACTGAAGACTTCACCACCTTTGCCTTAGGCCGGTGGATGCTTTTAGGTGAGCCCTACGATGTTGTCTGTAGCGAAGATGTGGATGATATTAGCTGCACTGATTTTGTCGAGCACATTGCTGACGCATTCGAGGAGTCGGGAGAAATTGAGCAACGAATAACAGAGAATGCCGCGCGCAACTCGGAGGGACCCTCAGCACTGGCGAATGTGATGACCTTTGAAACAAGCGATAAGGCAGAGAGTGTGTGGAAGTCTGCCGATGGCACAGTTGAAGTCACGGCCATACGCACAGAGCACATCGGCGGTAGTGCTGCTTTCCGCATAGATTCACCTGCCGGGAGTGTGGTGATTGGCGGTGATGCAGCTAATGATCTGCCAGCAGAAGATCGACCTTATTCGACATCAGACAATGTCGAGGCACTAGCTGAAGGAGCGGATATACTAGTACACTCTGCCATTCACCCTGTTATGTCGCTGGAGGAATCAACCTTGCCAGCAGCCATGTACAACAAATTCAGCACTACAGTTGATATCGGGGCGATGGCCCAACGTGCTGGTGTGCACACAGTCATCCTCACACACACTATCCCGCCTCTCGGTGCGGTCAACTGGGGCGCCTTCGCTGTACCTGGTGGAGAAGCTTTGAAAGAGGATGACTATGAAAGTTCGGTGAAGGAGGGAGGCTTCAACGGTACCACTAAAGTGGGAACGTATCTGCAATCCACGAGGCTATAGAATAATTCGAGCTATGTGGTCTCTCGAAAATAATGGAACAGGAATAGTCCAACGCAAACATCCATGAGAACCAAAGCAGTATATAACGCGGGAGGAGTTGTACAATCCACGAGGATATATCAAATGATAACTAGTTGGCCTTTACCTGAACCGAATAACATGTGTCAGTGGAAGTAATGTGACAGCATAATCGAACGCAAACATCCATGATCAATACATTAGTATACAACTCGGGAGGAGTTGTACTATCCACGAAGAGATATAATGATAACTTGTTGGCCTTTACCTGAGCCGAATGACACGTGTCCATTATACAACAGTGGCATGTTACCCGGAATGAATATTAAATCAAGCATCAAGAGAGATATATCACACGTTCTTCTAAGCAGTGCGTATTCTGGATTGCTGGCATCGTTCTGTTTTCTGGATCTGACAGACAACAAACGTTATGTATGTATGCTTCATTGCACAGAATCGTGTTGAAGTAAAAAAAATATGATTCAGACCGAAATCTGAATATTATGACTAAAACGGGAGATACTGCTTGTTTAGGCACAAAGCAAGGAGCATATTTTCGGCAATTCGCCTGGTGTGATAATATAAGTACAGCCAAGCTTGCGTATTCCTTTTCGGAATAATCGCACCATTAACGTGAACTACACTACGCTGGTGATTTTTTATTTCGTTGGATATGAATTTCAAATTTATACAGGCCTTACATTCGATTTATATAGGAGACCGCCATTCTGACTGTGTTTCAGATGTATATCTGGGCAATTAACACAGGGGCCTGTAAATGACTACTCTTTTCACGGGTCGGTATTACCAAACCTCCTCTCCGAGTCACACTTCATTGAGCAATTCTATATGCAAGTGAGTGACTGCTCTTGAGTCTTATCACGGGCCGGTATTACCAAACCTCTTCTCCGAGTAGAACTTGACAATATAGACCCATTTAGAGCAATTCTATATGCAAGTGAATGACTGCTATTTTTCACGGGTCGGTGTTACCAAACCTGCTCTCCGAGACACTTGTGCAATATGGACCCATTTAGAGCAATTTTGTATGCAAGAACGCGAGCGCAGATTGCAAAAAGAAGAAGCTATTTAGGGGGACAATCCAACAAGAAGTTATTAGAACCCCTGTGCTATGATGATTTTTGTAGTGTTCTGATTTTGTGAACAAACACCATCGTGACCACCGAATGCGACTAGACAGATACCAGTGTTGATCCCTGGACAATCGCATCGTCACGTTCACTCGTGACTTCTCTAAGCGTACCAATCTGAGACACTCTCGACCTTAGACACGAAGGTTCTGAATCTACACACAGGTTTGAACCAGAAGAACTTTTTGATTTCCCCGTGCCCAGCACTACAGAACCGCTTGTGTTTGGCACGTCCATGCACACCCTCGGAGCCTCCATCAAGCGTGTTGACGCCATATTTATATTCGTATTCACATTCACATCCGCGTTTGGAACAACTACAAACAAGTCCTTAGTACTACCTGTGCCGAGGGTAGACGACTGAACTGAACGCAGACTCTTGGCCAAGATTTTGCGCACGGCGTTCGTGGCCGCCACCACAGTCGTACTGTTGCGACGAGTGCTGGAGCTCTGCGACGGGGCGGATTGACGCCGGTCCTTCTTGGCCTGCTTCTTAGCACCGTGCAACGTTCGCGGTGTGGTACCAGTTTGATCAACACCGAAGTCGCTGGCCGTGCCTGTGGAGGTGTGAGTGGCTCCATCGTTGACCAGGTTAGGGGAGCTCCGGTGCGACTTCCTCCTAAGCCATGTGACCATAGAAGGGGATTGTAGTGTCTGGGCGCGAGTGCGGTTGCGACTGCCGGAGCTCAACGACCGCTGGTAGTTTGCCGCGCTGCAAGACTCTGAGTTGAAGCCGATGGTCTTGCAGCTGACGACTTCACTCCCGCAGTCGCTGGATATAGTACTCTCACTCAGGCGCGTACTTGAGGTCCTTCTCACACCCATTCGCGTACTTGAGGTCCTTCTCACACCCATTCGCTGCGAAGGGTCCCAGGTGGTGTTGCACTTGGCAACCGACACCTCCACCGGGGAGGAGTCCAATTTGGGTATCCGCCGCAATGTGTTGAATTCCCGTACGGTTTGATCGCCTTGCCGGATGATCCACCGTACTGTGATTGGGCATGATTTAGAGTTTACGTAAGTACGATTTAGGCAGAAGATTACAGTAAATTGGGTCGGAATTGTGCTTACGGAAGTTTCAGAAGAATAAATACCGCAAAATAGTGAGTGTGTTGTATGCAAGGTACTACCACTATAATAAGAAATGGTCTTCTGTGTGCAAGTGCGTTTCGTGAAGATAATTATTCGTATCCAGGAAACACATTCTAATACGGCGTGAGTACAAACAGTAGCATCTTCCATACGGTTCATACGCCAGGACATGCAAAAGCTATGGGCATCTGGAAAAGCCGACAATAGCGAAAATGTACACGCTATACAAAGCATAGCAAATTGTGGCAGATGCAACAAGACAATTTTAATACAGACAGTGATCGTTCGCTTTCTAAATTGACTAAGCACCATATGAAGCTGTATGAAGGTGCTACACAGGTCTTAAATCCTATATATATATATATATATATATATATATATATATATTATTTTATACACACACACACACATATATATATATATGCATATATATAATGATATTCAAAAATTAGTAGTATGAAGATTTTCCTAACAAGACCCAACTTCTGGTCTTTCGATAGCTTATAGAGTTTGGCAATCGTATATTCCAAATATATTGGATAGACTGGACGTAAATCCATAGACAAGATACTAGCTACGAAGGCGTACAATCAAACCTATATACGAGTATACATATGTACATGTATGGAGACCGCATTACTTCTAATGTCAAGCATGCGATTGAATAGTACATATTATATACACCGAGTTAATACACCAGGAAAGTTCATTACACACAAAAAAACAAAATCAGCCTTATGAAGATCAACTATTTATTCTGAATAGGGCAGCACACAAGTGGCACCTCGAGAACAAGCACGTATCACTCGAGCAAGGACGTGGTACACAAGAGCCACAATATCAATAATGCTGCATCACACATAGTATCGCTTGTTATTTGACACAAGATACTAGGGTAAAAATGCAGTAATTACCTTGAGGAGGATTTCTTTCGCGCTGATTCTCTCTTTCCTTGTCCGCACAGAGTTCTTCATTTTTGCGATACGAATAATACCCCAACGCCGACAGCCATACGAGGCTTATACCGGCAAACAATAGACGCTGTCCCGTAACTATGCTAAAACAAACAGGTAATAGTATAGCTAAGAACGTATTAATTATCTTATCAAATTCTCGTTCACGAACAAGCTGATTGAAGAGACATGAAGACAATTGCTCCTCTGTTTTCTTACTGATTGCTGTGCTGAATAGGTCTTGTAGTAAAGCAAAGTCTAAAGGCTTCCATAACCAGTTACTGGGAACAAGGCTGTACACTCCACTGAGAACCCCTGAATATATATCAGGCATCATATTCTTTGTACCCAGACAATTCGTAGTACACGTATAAGTTTGTGGTGGAAAAGATGTCATATTGACTGTAGATGGGTTAACTTGGCTGTCAGTGACACTACAACACCTCTCAGCAGCGTCTACAGTGAAACGGTCGACAGAGTTTGTGTTAATGGCCGCGAAAGTGGTCACAGCCTCGCTTTTCGAACGGGGGTTCGATTCACTTTCCGAGCTGGAAGAGGATTTCAGTAGCTTAGATGCCCTCTGTAGCATTGTTGTGCCGTGTGTTTAATTCGAGCACGAATTAGCAGAATAAAAGGGAAGCCATTTTCCGTAGGGTGTTATATGTTATATAATGACGGTTTCCAGTATATAGTTCGGTGTTATTAACAGAGAGCATGCATTCCTCTCTACTAGTAAGAGAATAATTAAATAAATGGCTGTGTTGTACAAAAAGATGTTGTACTCGTGTTTATGACATCAGCTGTGGTTTGAGTTGGATCTTTCTCATCTATCGACTTTTGGGGTCAAAAAGCAAACTCCCGTCCTTCAGCCCGAACTCCGAAGTGTTCTCGTGAATCTCTTGCCGTCTATTTATATTTTTCAAAACATTATAAAAAAAATACAACAGCGTCAACGACGCAACCGTGAACCGTGAGCCGGGCAGCCAGCAGAGGGATTTTCTATATAAATATGTACATATTTACATACAGTTTTTACACACATATACGATATAATAAAATAATAATTTTTTATTTCAAGTAAAAGCAACAGCAACCAAATACATAAATATGTAAATACAACCGACGCAAACGTTCTTGTATTTACATATTTTTACAGAGAGTGTATTTGTTTTTAAACATTTTTTTCTAGAAATATTTATGTATTTACGGTTATGTAGTTTCAAATATGTAAACATGATGGTATTTATATATAAATATTTACGTCACCAATACATAAATAAAATATGTATTGAGCTTGTTTTGTTTTTAAAAAATAAATGCATATATTTATATATATAAATATATTTTCTAACAAAACGTATTGCTTTTTGAACTACAGAGTACAGAGCAGACCCGTAATCCGAATGTACAGAAGATATGTCGATACGAAAATAGTGTAAACGCCGTTATATTGCGGTTAAATAGCCGTAGGGCGTTACGGCCGACGCCCTACGGCTATTTAATAAAACGGCGTTTATAACGGCGTTTACACTATTTTCGTACATATTACTGTACGGATTTGTAGTCTGTACTCGGTACTCACTACTCTGTAGTTCAACAAGCAATACGTTTTGGTAGAAAAAATGTTTATAAAATAATTCAAACTAAATATTCTCGTCATTCTCACCGATCTAACTGGTCTCTAAATAGGGAATACTCTCTTTCTATTAGAGAGTACGATATTCTCCCAATCATATGAAGTTGTTTTTAAATCTGTCCATCACGTTTTTGGTTAAAAAAATCTAAATGAATATCAAGCTCATTTTAATATCCGTTTCGACCTTGCGGTCCAAGCTACGGATAAGTAGTCATGAGTTGAGTACGTATGTATGTACAGTATGCAAGTACATATAGGACTATAGGTCCTTTAGAAAAGAAAAAAAAGGAATTGTGTTCATCATCAGTGTTCAGAACTGGGTTCACAACTTCACAGTCTGTGAGGACTGAGGAGCTCGAGGGCTGAGGACTGAGGACTGAGGAGCGGTGAGAAGCGAGGAGTGAAGACTGAAGAGTGAGGACTGTAAACTGTTACAGGGGCGGGACCGCGAGAGGACCCGGGAGTCCGGGACTCACTGAGTCTGTTGGTTTACATGATAATAAACGTTTACAATACGCGTATCAGTTGACACTTGTGTGTTGTGTGAGAGACCAACTGATCTGAGTCTCTGAGAGACTTGTTGGAGAGACTGAGCCTCTGAAGACTGCCTGAGCCCTGAGGTGTGCAGACGTCTGAGATTGGAGGGGTTGAGACTTGAGAGTTGAGATTCGAGACTCGAGAGTCTGAGACTCTGTCGTTCTGAAGAAACGCCGAGTCTGTCAGTATGTGAGGATTCTGAGGAATCTTTTAAAATAAATCTCAAATCTGAGTATACTTTGTTTGTTGCATATTTTTTGTTTCGAAATAGTGAGACATACATACCTAATAAGCTTATTACGTTATGAGGGTAAGGAATAGAAGTTGAACGTAAACGCATATTTATTCAATTTAAAAAAAGGCTATAACGGATGTAATGTGAACAGACAGGCCTACCTAAGTGTATATTTATTCGCTTTATAAAAGTTTTTTTAGTGGAAAACGGTTTGATGTTAGCGACATACGGCATACGGCATACGCCGTCATACGGTCGTAGCAGTTTTATGAGCTCAAATGGTTTGATCCCCTGATAATTCTAGAGTATTTTATCTAACGTTTCATAGCGCAGATAATACAACCATCTAATATATTCTTTTTAAAAAAAAAGCAAATATTTGATATTGGTGATTTATCAATTATCATCACAGGAATGAGGAAATTAAGCATTTATTGTCTTGTGTTTTTTTTTAAAAGCAACATTTTTTTATAGCCTACTGAAAGCAAACTTCATGGTGTACTTCTTTGAAAAATAAAACTGTTTTTGGGTGTTTTGTTTTTTGTTTTGCTTTTTCTTAAAGTTTACAAAACCAACGCACAAGTGCGCAGCAGAAAATTGTGTACCAATAATATTGGCTATTATAATTATTTTTGTAGTTCATGTTTTGTAAAAATAAACAAGAGTCAACATACGAAGTGTGACACTGCGTGGCTGCGAGTGCGAGTCTGCGACATTATAAAATAAAAAACAAACATCTAATATCTATTGCTCTTTTCAAAAGTATAAAAACTATTGGATAATCAGAACGATTTCCTACGTAAGAAATATTCCACTGTAATTCTGGATAGGCTGTTCTGATCAACACTGACTTTAAAAATCAAGTCCAAAGATTCAGAAAAATAAAATCAGATCAAGATCACAGCTGGGTATATTTATATTTCAATAGAGTAAATGAGTATATTTCGAAATATTTATGGTAAAGTTTACCAATATACGTAAAATCGCCAATCCCTTACTTTTTGTAAAAATAAATATAAAAATAATATGTAGCGAGACATAACCTCCTAAATTGTATTTACAAGTGAGACAGTAAAGTCAAATAAATACAATTATTTTATAACCTTCTGAAAATTAGACATATATAGATATTTTGTTTTATTAAAAAAAACCAATGTAAAAAGTACTTCTTTAAAAAAATACATTAGGCGCCTTATGTATGTAGGTTTTATCTTGTGGGTAAACCATATGACGATGTATTAGTCATGGCTTTTTTAGGTCATCCATTTATTGATGATAAATATCAATACTGATATTCCCCAATGTCCCAACTGGAGCGGCTCAATTTCACGAAAGTTCAATTCCATTGTATTTAGTGGTAAACAGCATATAGGTATATACAGTATGATCTTCCTAATGGAGCCAGTATAACCAGTTTCTGTTTACCTATTCTATGTAGCAGCTCATATATTCTTGTAGAAGGCTTATATCGGTTATTTAACAGATCAACTGAAAGGTAAGGCTGAACTTCCCCGTATGCAAGAGGCGGTGTGTGCAAGCATCAGTCCCACCAGAGATGTATGTCTGTGCACAATTGCTGAAATCTAACTTGCCGTTTCTAATAATTGGTATAGGAAAATGGGTACTTTTTATTTGTAAATATGCATATATATATATATATATATATATATATATATATATATATATATATATATATATTATATATATATATATATATATATATATATATATATATATATATATATACTACTACGTA